GGTATTTCTCGCCCGTCAATTAGTCGTTAATTGAATTATTCACTGTTACTGCTTGAATCGCGTTGGACATCTTCGGCAGCAGCAATTTGACTTGCGTACGGATACTCTGGTATTGGTACTTTCAATGTATGTCGATAGCTGTCGCCCCCTTCTTCCCAATCGTATGGCGATTGTTGATTATAACCACGGGCCTTCATCACACCTTTCAACTTGTCAATAAACCATTCATAATCTGGGGTATCCTCATATTTCATGTATACCAGTGCATGGTAGATGAGGTAGAATTCCGCCGGTAGGTCGCGCAGCAGCTCCTTTGCTTTCATGTGGTCTTTCAGTTCGCCAACATCCTTCTCGTTGTTCATATGCTGCCATGGCAAGCGGCACAGACGAAATTCAATCAACATGTAAAGCATGCTCCACAGATCATCACAAGGTCCAAGGTCTCTGTGATGGTGGGCGTTGACAGACGCATATCGCACCGTTCCTCTGAATGTCACTCGCTTTCGTGCCGGAACCAGTTGCGAATCTTTTGCTCTGTAGCGACGGGCCAACCCAAAATCCAAAATGTACACATTTCGCGCGTCCTCTCCGGAAATTCCTATGGCAAAGTTCGTTGGCTTTATGTCACGATGAACGAATCCGATCTCGTGGATTTCTTTTATCGCTTCAATACACTGAATTCCTAAACGAACTGTGGTGTTCAGAGAAAACCTGTGCTCAAGAACTGCCCGCTTAAGATCTGCCAAATTTCGCCCAGCTATGGACATAATCAAGTATCTGAGGTCTCGGAACTTGCCACTAGTGACGTATTCACATGTGTGCTTTTTTTGCTTCTTACTAAGTGCTTTTAAAATATAAGTTTCTGTTTCTAACGACATATATCCACCTGTCTTTGATCCGATCTACAGTAAATGAGCATCACAAATCGAACATATAAAACTGAAACCGTACTTTTAGAGCACGACGCAAATTCGTATGCTTATCTCTTACTTCATACACTGCTCCAAAATTTCCTGACCCAAGAATAATGCCAACCACCCACCGACCTTCCAGAATATCGCCTTCTTTAATTAATAGTGCCTCTGATGGAAACGAGCCTGAGAAAAAACGTGCCATTAATTTGCCAGATATTTATAGAAAAGTGAAGACGGAGTAGTCAAATAAGTTCAAAACAAAGACTTCCATTTTACATGAATCGAACATGTTGTAAGGCTTTGTAGTGTAACATCATTTCCTTATAATGAAGTTTAACGTGTTTCAAATGTAGATTTAAACCTCATTATTTCAAGTGATGTATAAACAGCATGTATTCCTGATGCACATTTGAGAAAAAGTGAGATGTTTGAAATTTTAAATATTTCTCGGTTTATGTTCATGTTATTTCAGATAGCGCATAAAACACATTCAAAGGCTCTTGGTTACGGCTCAAAAAATCAGACGATTCAGGCTGTTTCCACTCGTGAAAGCTACCTCAATACATCGAGGTCATGTTTCATTCCATTTTCAGACTGATTTCGAGCATACTTCTCTTCTAACTCCCACCTTCGCTACCTCAAAGTAGCGGACGAATGAGAATGTGTTTTCAGTCTTCCAGCCGAACTTTCAAGGCGAAGCAGGTGCAACCACGCTATGATACCTTTACAAACATACCTGGCCAAGTCGAGGTGGCAGCATATATCAATCCACTTTCCTTCAAGATGAGTTATCTGAGCGAAATCCCCCCAATAACATGTTATAACTGAAATTTCGGTTCTCGCTTCCGGAAGGTCGATCTTTCGCCAGTGAAAGCACCAGCTGGTCTGGATTGAAACGTAAGAGTATCAGAAATACCAAGATTACATATCGTAGCTAATAAGATTTACTAACGATGATGAGTTACAACACAAATCACTTCTGATCCAAACAATGCAATTCAAGCACTGGAAAAAAACATCTTCGTTAACTGAA